GGGCGATCGCGCACAGTGCCAGACGCCTTGCAAGGGAGATGCATGCTAGCAGCTATCAATCAGTGCTGCATGTCTCTCCAGGTGCAACGGAAGCAAAACAGCCAGCGCACTCTGCATTGATCTGAGCTTCCTGCTACAAGGAATGCCAATCCCCGCCCAGCTTGTGAGTTGAAACAGCGCTGCGAAACGCCTTTGTCAAGCGGGCTTTCGCACAACGAGTGTGGCTCGCCAAGTGCCGGCAACTCCAGCTCCGCCCAGAACCCTGAAACTGAAAACTAACTGAAGCTCCCCCAAACTATGTATTCATCTGAAGCTCGGTCACAAAGGGCAAGGAAATCGTTGTCTCTGGCTCCAGCCGGAATTAGCGGCTCTCGCGGGACAAAAAAAGGTTCGTAGCCTCAGCTTCAATTCAAGCTGTTTTCGGAAGGCAGGATTCAAGCGTGGAGCTGCATGCTCAACTTTAAAAACTTTAGTGCCGTAGAATCGTGACCTTTGCAACCTTCCCGCCCTCCTGTGGACAGTGGAGCTGCGTATTGTCTCGCCATCTGGATCACCTGCCCAGATTGCAATGGTGTTGGTTTGTTGTGGTTCTTCCTTAGCTACCACTTGAAGCCACAGGCCTTGAAACTCGTGCAAGTGCGTGTTTGCCATGTCTGCAGCGGAAGGTATGTGTTTTTCCAGGGCTGCAGGCCCACCAGTCACACCAGGAACGTCCTGCGAAGCGCATCTCCATCTGCATTCTGACTAGGATTCTGCGTCGTGCTTCACACGCAACGACTCAAAAGGATAGATCTTACAGGTTGGGGTGGCAGAACTTGGCAGAGTCTCAGAGGAGACGCCCGACGACTCCAACATAGAGCTACCCGAGTAAGTCAGCGAGATGAAGGCGTTGGAGCTCTTGAAATGCCCCTTCGGAATGAAATGTTCTAAGTTCACTCTGACAGGGCCTGTTGTGGAAGGCTATGGCACCACCCCATTTGTTTTGGATTCTGGCCCCATGCCCTGCCACATGTTCTAAACAGTGTGCAGATACTGCACAGGGGAGTGAGTGAATGCATTCAAGGCAAGGCTGGTGAAGAGCCCCGCTCTCTTTCAACGGTTCAGCTTCTTAGACGCTGTCACCAATTTTGCTGCGTTCAGGCATGATTCCCTTACATTCCTCCACCACTCGCAGATATGCCTGGATAAGGCTGTAAGTATCCCGAGTTCTGATGCCAAACAAGACTGACAGCGCGTCCTCTTTGCGCAGCATCAGGAGCGACTTTGTCGCCGAGTCCTGCTGGAGCTTCTTGGGGAAGTGGTGTGGGAAGAGCTATTCTGGACTTTCGTGAATCACTTTTGCGGGGCTTGGGCTCGGATTTGTGATGACCTGCGGTGCATGATGGCAGCAGTGTGAATGTCGTATGTCACGCTGGCCTGCCTGGCTGCCTGCCTGCCTCCTTCGCGTGTGGTCATGAAGTGACGCAGGCAGAGCGGTCCACGCAAAGCTCCAATGCAACTTGTCCACTTTTGTTCCGTGCTGCAGCATCAGCATGAGACCGTAGAAGGGCCTCAGTTTCTCCGGCCTTTCGTCTTCAATCGAGTGCTCGACAAGAACATAGCGACGGATGCGCCCAGCATCTCGAAGCACAACAGCACAACAAAGCCTTTTCTGAAGCTTTCCTCAAAGTCACGGCTGCAACCGCTTGGCGTCCATTGCATGCAGCGACATGTAGCGGCGTCCATCCGGAAGCATCGGCGATGTTTACCGGCAGAGAACTGGCAGGGCAAGCAGCATGTATGTGCCCACCCTTTGTTATGCATTTGTGTGTATATCTGAAATGAAGACGTTTACACAGCTGGCTAGCTAGATTGATAAGTAGATTTATGAACATTGAATATGAGATAGGAACAACAAGACTTTGACATATAGGGAAGCTATAGGACCTCGGATTTAGGTACGAAATCTGACGTTGAGACGCTAAAACGTTTCCAGATCCTCACGTATTCTTGCAACCGCCTCTTCTTAGGCCTGTCGACACATCAGGATAGATAGATCGATGGATATAAATAGACAGACAGACAGATCTGTACATGTCTCTGCACACTTGTATATCAAGTTTCACAAACAAATATCAAACAGCATCACTTCGCCAGCTGCAAAAATTTGCTGAACGGTTTCGCTTTGCCCGCGCCTCTCAGTCGCAGGTATGTCCAGCAGAGCCTGCACAACCCGCAAGCTTCCCTTGCGGCAAGCGGCATGCAGCCCTGTCGTGCCATTACCTCAGCGACTCTCGAGCCGAAGACCCTGCCGCTACATCCGGGTTGTGCGGGATATCGTTTGTCTTGCACGAACGGGGCCCGGGGCCCCCTGTTCCGGGTCCCGGCTTCCGGGTTCCGGGTCCCGGGTCTCTCCGGGTGCAGGTTCCGGTCTCGAATGCGGGTCGAGGGTCGCCCGGGTTCCGGGTTCACTGCTGATGCAGCTGCTGCTGTTGTTCTTGTTCTTGTTCTTGTTCTTGTTCTTGTTCTTGTTATTGTTATTGCTACTGTTACTGTTACTGTTACTGTTATTGTTATTGTTATTGTTATTGTTATTGTTATTGTTATTGTTGTTGTTGTTGTTGTTGTTGTTGTCGCTGCTGTTGTTGTTGTTGTTGTTGGTGGTGGTGGTGTTGTTCTTCTTATTATGCTTCTTCTGCTTCTGCTTCTTCTCACTATTATTCTTCTTATTGTTCTTCTTATTAATGTTCTTCTGCTTCTTATTTTTATTCTTCTCATTCTTCTTCTTATATTTGTTCCTACCATTCTGCTTCGTAATCTTATTTTTATTGTTGTTGTTGTTGTTGCTGCTGCTGCTGCTGCTGCCGTTGTTGTTGTTGTTGTTGTTGTTGTTGTTGTCGTTGTTGTCGTTGTTGTCGTTGTTGTCGTTGTTGTCGTTGTTGTCGTCGTTGTCG